CCAGGGACCCCTGTGACTGGGATCAGGTAAGTGTGGTCCCTTCCTTCCTGCTCTGATGGGGTTGGAGGAGAGCCAGAAAAGCCCTCCCTGTCCAGAGCCAAAATAAAGCCACGACCCTTCCTGTTCTCTCTCCTTCCCCCTGATCTCATGGAATAAAGAATCTGGACAACCACACTGGGGATAAAGCCTCGTCTGAACCTCTCCTGACACTCCTCCCCTCAAGGCCTCGTATCTCTGGGCTAGCCTGATAATTTGGGGGTGAGAGGGGCAGGAGCATCAAAGTGGCAGCTGTGTTTTTTGGGGGGTCTGTGGCACAGGAGGGGCTGAGTATTGATTATCTGAAGCATCAAAGTGGCAGCTGTGTTTTTTGGGGGGTCTGTGGCACAGGAGGGGCTGAGTATTGATTATCTGAAGGGTGGGAACCTGACTGGGGGTCCAAGTTGTGTCTCACTGTGGTTTGTTGGAATTGGGTGGGGGGGAGGAGGAATGGTTTGGAAGGTTTCCATTTTGGATTTAGTGGTGTTTGGTTTTTTTTTTTTCTTTCTTTTCCCTTTTATGGGAGTAGTAATTTAATAAAGTCTCTCCTTTGTTATTAAGCTCGGGCCTGCTCTGCTCTGCTCCTGATCTCACAGCAGATCATTTGGGGGTTGTATTTTCATTAACCATGGCCCAGCCCTCAGCAAATCAGCTGGAAAGGAACGTTTTGCATGAAAGGAACATTTTGCATAAAACTTCCTGTGCCAGGAGCTGCTGCCACACGGGGCTGGGGTCACATCCCACATCAACCCAGCAGGGAGAGCAGCCAGGGACATCCCACAGGGACCACGCCAGGGCAGACAGAGGATGGGCAGTGCTGCATCCCAGGGAAAATGCAGGGTTAAAGGGGAGGGAGAAGCAGGGCAGGATGAAAGCAGCACATAAAAATGGGCCTGCAGGTCATCCCAGACCAGGCAGCAGCCTGAAAAACCCTCCCAGGAGCTCTCCTGGACTGGGATCTGGAGGCAGCACAGGCTCTAAACTGTGATTTTTAAGGATTTGTGTGCCCCTTCCAGTATAAATCCAAACGTGTTTGTGCAGCAAATGAGCTGTTTGCCCACTTCAACCAAAGACTGAAGCACCCTGATGAGAACAATGCAAACTCAAAGCCATTACATTACAAAAATCCATACATAAATTGTCCTCCAGCGAGTCTCCTGGGGGTCACTTGCTCCTTCTGGTCCTGGAAATAGATTTTTTTAAAATTGTCTTTAAAAGGGTGAGGAGAGAGTAGAACTACAGTTTGCAAATGATCTCATGCAAAATATGTGGGTGGGTTTTTTCCCCTCACAAACCTACATTTTCATTCCTGCAGTGCTCACAGGACAGCAAGCAGCTCCCTCCTAGTGGGAAAAGAGGAACATGAGCTCGTGAAAAGCCAAATAATTAAACAGCCAGGAATGAAAAAAAAAAATTTTAAAAAGCCCTGAGGAGATCTGTTCCTACCTGACTCATTGCAGTAAGGTGGGGATTCCTTCTCCTCCTGTTCTTCATCTAGGAAAAAGGAGTTTGGAGGAAACATCTCAATGCCCAGGGGGTTTGTGCTCCCACATTCACCCAGGACAACCCCACACTTTCATTTGCCTAAATTCACCCCAGGAGAACATTCCTGAGAGTCCTTGCAGGCTTTGCACAGCCTGGGTGTGAAGCTGAACATCAGGATACAAGTTTTCCAAAAAGCTCCTAAATTGCCCAAACTCCAGGGAATTTTCACAGGGATTAAAAAAAAAAAAAAAAAAAAAAAAATATTTGTCCTGGGATGAGCTTCACGGTACCAAGGTTCCAAGGAGAAAGTTCAGCCCATGGCATGGAAACCGGGAACAGCTTTCCTGAAAAAACACATTTTCTGCAAGGTGTTTGTCCCTAAAATGATTTTAAAGTGCCTGGACTCTCCTGGCTGAACCCAACAGGATGGAATTCCAGCAGAGCTGACACTTCAGGCCAAAGGCTGTGTCCTGAGGGGTGGATTTGGGAGCAGGGGAGTGGCAGAGCTGCCAGGATCAGCTGATTTCTCCATCCCAAAAAAAGAATCAGAAGGGATCCTGGAGGCTGTCCCTGGGCTGGGAGGGGCAGGGCACACTGGCTGTGTGCCCCAGCCCTGCCATCCCAGGGCTGGAGCAGCACCAGGAGCACTCCCTGCCCCTGGGAGCTCCTGGCCTCACCCCTCAGCCCCCAGGGATGCTCTCCAGCATCTTTTTCCCAAAAGAGATGGAGCTGATGGCTGGGCCAGCCCGGGATCCTCCCTGCCACCCCACACCCCCCTCGGGCACTGTTCACCCCCTCCTCAGCAGGGGAAAACACACAGGGGCAGCAAACCACACTCACCCAGCCTTCCTCCCCCCATCCCCTGCATGTGCCCAGAATAAAACATGGGGATTGTTAAATGATCAGTGTTCCATAAAGCCAGGAGAACTGCTGGCAGCAAATCCCATGGGAGCACAAACCCACCAGCAGCAAACACTTCCTTGCATTATTTTCCTGCCCATCCTGTTTGGTCGGGTCTGTTGCCAACTTTTGAGGAAATTTATGGCCTCGTGGTGTTTGGACAACTGCTGTGGTGTACAAATATCCGTGGGTATTGTGTCTGCAGGGTGAAAGCAGCACGAGCTGCTGCCCTTTGGTCGGTGATAGGAAATCACTGGATCCCAAAAAATTTACTGGGAAAGCAAGCGGAGCTAGCATTCCCTAATAAGTGTGAGATTACACCCAGGAGAAGCAGCTGGTTTAAACTGAATATCAGCTTTTAAAAAAGCAAACAGATAAATAAATCATAATGTTCTGCTCACCTGACTCCTGAGCTGCTGCCCTTTGACCACTGACAGAAAATCATTGGATCCCAAAATTTTATTGGGAAAGCAATCAGAGTTAGCATTCCCTAATTATAAGATTATACCCAGGAGAGGCAGCTGGTTTAAACTGAACATCAGTTTTAAAAAAGGGGATTACAGGTAAATAAATCACAACGTCCTGCTCACCTGACTCCTCTTCCGAGCTGCTGCTGGAGCTGTCTTCAGAGCTGGCTTCTCCTTAAAAACAGGCACAGGTGGAATGTGAGTCCAGAACCCATCCAGAGGTTTGGATCCATCAGGGCAGGCAGCAGGATAAATAATGGAACAGGAAAAAAAAAAAAAGCAATATTGAAGCAGAGAAAAACATGAGAGCATCAAATCCAACCCCAGGGGAGACCCCTTCTGAGGGGTGCTCAGAATATTGAATTCTCATGTTTTGTACAACCTGGGACAATTCTGGAGCTCCACCCACGGCCCATCCCAGTTAAATTGTGGTTTCCCAAGGCAGGTGGGAGCAGCCTTGGTGGGAGCCGTGTGTCACGTGGAGGCACCAACCCCTTCGTCGTTCTCACAAACATCATTGGAACAGAAAGCAGCACTGGAAAGCCAGGGATGTGTTTTGGGGGGAAATTTGGGATGCAAGAGCAGGCACAGCAGCCCAGGAGTGAGGAAATCCCTGAGCCGTGGTGGCCTCACCCTCCGGGTGCTCCTCGGCCGATCCCGATCCCGACCCCTCCAAGCCATTGGGTGTCACCTCTGCGAGAGAAAGGCAGGGAGTAAAATTAAATAAAAGTCTGAGCAGGATTTCACTCTTTTTTTACCAATTCTGTACTCAGAGAAAGGGAATAAATAACAAAAGAACAGGCATTTTAAAACCCAGCAAAAGAAAACAAAGCAACCCATAAACAAAGCGTTTACACCAAGGTTTTAAAGCCAATTATAGAATTCCCATTCCCATTCCAAAGCATTTCCCAAAATCCCTGTACCTTTTCAATTGCTTTTTAAAGCCAGTTTTGGAATTTCCATTCCAAAGGATGGGCATTTCCCAAAATCCCTGTACCTTTTCAACTGGTTTTTAAAGCCAGTTTTAGAATCTCCATTCCCATTCCCAAAGATGGGCATTTCCCAAAATCCCTGTACCTTTTAAACTGGTTTTTAAAGCCAGTTTTAGAATCTCCATTCCCATTCCCAAAGATGGGCATTTCCCAAAATCCCTGTACCTTTTCAACTGGTTTTTAAAGCCAGTTTTAGAATCTCCATTCCCATTCCCAAAGATGGGCATTTCCCAAAATCCCTGTACCTTTTCAATTGGTTTTTAAAGCCAATTTTAGAATTCCCATTCCCAAGGATGAGCACTTCCCAAAATCCCTGTACTTTTTCGATTGGTTTTTAAAGCCAATTTTAGGATTCCCATTCCCAAGGATGAGCACTTCCCAAAATCCCTGTACCTTTTCAACTGGTTTTTAAAGCCAATTTTAAAATTCCCATTCCCAAGGATGGGCACTTCCCAAAACCAGCGTTACTTTTTCTGGCGCCGCCTTTTAAAGCCGGTTTCAAAATTCCCATTCCCCATTTTCCCAAAAATCCCTGTACCTTTTTCATCCGAGGAGAGGGACTCTGCCCCGCTGGAAGACAAAAGCAGGCACACATGAGAACCCTGCCAGCCCTTGCCCACGCCTCCTCAGGGGCAGCATTCCCAGCTCCCTGCCCTGGCATCGCTCCCGGGAATCTGGGAGCTGCCCTGGCATGGGGGATTCCACATTCACCTCCTGCAGCATCCCCCAGCCATGGCCCCCTCCTGGTTTTTTGGGGACGCCTGGCTCTGCTGGACAATTCCCACTGGCACCAGCTCCTGCTTCCAGCCCCTTCTGCCAAGCACCAGGAGCCCGTGCCAAGCGCCCGTTGGATTTGGGAG